AGTACCCCGATCATATATTAATGTTACTTTATATATGAATCATCGTTTATCAGAGTATAGATGAATATAAATTATAATGCAATAACTCCTCATCTGCGGCTCGAGAGGCAATACTAGATCATCACTAAAGCAAATTATAAAGAGCATTAATGTCTTTTAACGTAAATGTTTTTAAAATTTATAACAACCAACTTAGAATTATGTAAAAATAAAACTGTATTTTACAATACAGTACAATCTTTGGTTGTAAGTAATAAATTATAATGGAGAATAATTACCATGCAATTATTATTATATAAAAAAAATATGTGGCCATAATCAATCAAACTACTCCCGGTTTGATACGAACTTTTATAAAAATATTAAGTTTTATTACAACAGCAAGAAATATATTTTATTGTGTTTACTATAATTAGCATAATACATGAATTATTTGGACATATATTATTCATAAATTACCTGGGTCATATGGAAATATTTTAAATTATTATGAAGTACGCCATTAACAATAATTTATGATGTTATTCATAATAAGCTAGGTGCATGTGTTTTATTCTAGATTTAATTGTCAACATAATTTATTTAAAAAACCAAGTATAAAAATTAAGTTTAATTTTATTTATTTCATAAAGAAGTAAAATTTCTCGATATCATAATAAATGCACAGATACTGTGTAAGAGTTAAATATTTTAATAAATAAACTTATGTTATAATATGTAATAAATAAATATTTAATCATTATAAATTATTATGACAAATATTTTAGTAAATAAAAAACTTTCATTTATGATTTTATTTTTACATAATATTTATTTTGCGTATTCAAACATTAAAATTACAAACATTATAATTTAAAAAAATTTAATTAGCTGTAAAATAATTCATTAATTATGATAGAATTGAAAATACATCATTATACTTTATATTTATATTTATACAAGTCGTTTTTAAATAATTTACAGATATGGATTAAATTATAAAGCATGTCACAATAAAAAAAAAATTAAATCATTTATTTATATTAATTATTTGACATGCTTGATTAATTAATAATTAAGTGGATATTATCATAAATCCAAGACCTTAAAGAAAAACGCACCCAAAAGTGATAGTATTTCATACGATTTGAAATAAGTAAACATAAATAAAAATCCAAAAGTAAAGCCCACATCCTTTTTGCCCACTTTCTCGATAAATGTCATTAACTATTAAACAAAAACGCAAATAAATAAAACACAAAATTAACTAGATCATCTCCTACTTCATAACATTATATATAACATTTCTTACCATCATTAATAGAAAAGTAATTACAATAATTAAAAACATACCTTTAATCGGCAAAAGTTTGAATTTTGCTTCAAAGTTATTTGCAGTTTATTCAACGGTTTGTACGCTTTCTTTGCCTCTTCCGCAACACTCGACACAACCTTTAGATAACTTAATATAACGAAAGTTCCCGACCATAACAGATAGCCAAAAACTATCCTGGTCACTATATGCAGATTGGGAGCTATCTCAGTAGTCAGTTCGCAATCGACAAAAATCATAAATAGTGGCAGAAAAATGATCGAGAACGTTTTGAAAAAGCGATCGTTATTTTCATCGATATCAGCATAAATACCGGAAAACGTATTGATCAGATAATACACGTGTTGGTCAGTTGTCCGACTGTACTTATCATACTGGGCAGTGATCATAAGCCGGGTCTGTTTCATACGTGCCTTATGGTATAAACAAGTTAGATAAAAATACGTATACGTCCAGTGGCTTATGTTAAACACATAGCGCACACCAATTCCGTTAATGAAACCCCACGGAAAGTATATGGGAAACAGTGACCAGTCGTTTGTGCCGAAGTGGACGGGTGCGAAACATATGACAAATGCGGCCAAACCTACAATATTAGTGTTACGTTTCGTGTGATGGAACCAGAATTTGGCCGATTTGCACATCTCTATGATAACCGCCTCATCGACCAGCCCTACACTCCTGGGTGTGACTGAGCCCGCCATTAGCCGTATGGGCGCCTCCGGGAAGGGGTATCTCTTAATGTGATACAAATACCTGTAAGCATATAATTAAATGAATTTATAGTTCTTATGCTATCAATATTCCTGTATTATATTAAAATATGTAAAAGTTTAACATAAAATAAAATATCATAATTTTTAAAATAAAATAAAATACCTGTAATAAATTAGAGTAAGCATGGCCATTCCACTATACGCCACTACACCAAGATTTAACTGTGCTTTAACGTTGAGAAAATATGGATAATCGCCGATATAAGTGGCCAGTT